GTAGGTAGGACTATAGGCACATCACCCCACACCCAGTGGAATGTTTTTTATTCTTCCATATTTAATTAGTCAATGATCCATGTCATTTTTCTCCCCCATAGTAAAGGAATGCTAAAAATGTGTTTGTAAAGTCTTTCTGTAATTTTATGTTATGTGGATTCACTAACATTGATAGATCACATAAAAGTGTTAATTACTACCAATAATAATAATATTGAGACTCAGTTGTTATTTTCCTGTTTGGGACTTCCAAATTACTAGTATTTAAATAATTGCTGCTAATATGAATTCAGACACTTTAAATTGCTGTGAAACTACCTTCTGTTTTTTTTTTTGTCCAGAGCGAACATACCTATTATTCCAGTATGTACATGAGTAAAAAAAAAATTATGGTATTAACTCATGTCCTTATAGATATGGTAGTTACAGGACCTATTTGCCTAGAGTGGTTATAATATATTCCTGGGCTGAATAGTCTATCTTATAGCTTTAACCCTTGGAAGGGAAATAAACAATATATGTATTTGTAGGATTGATAAAAAATTGGAAGATGAACATAGTACTAGTTTAAGTTGTTTTCACATTTAGGAATATCTATCAATAAATTATTATTGTGGTTTAATCATATCTAGAGGTAATATAAATTATCTCAAGATAGCATATCATCTGCTTTAATGTGTTTTATAATCACAGTACTTGGGAAGCAAAGGCAGGAGGGTGGGTTCAGTCATTCTCAGCTACATAATGAGTTCAAAGCCAGCCTGGGCTGTGCACCTGCCTCCAAAAAGAAAACTATTGCGAATTAAGTCTTGTATAATAATAAGCTAGGTGTAGTGGAACTAGTAATCAACATATCCAAACTCTAGAATGGACAGAAATTGCTAGATGTGGCCTCTACATATGTGCACCTGTGTTCACACAAGCATACACCCACATGAATACAAACACATGAGTGTCTCAAATGATAGGCATCGTAAGACTTTTTATTTTTTCCTTTTGGGGAGGAATTGTATCAAATGGTCTCAGTAAACTGGATATGATGGCTCATACCTGTAAACTTCATCATTTCAGAAGCTAAGGAAAATTGCCCTAGGATTGTGGATAGCTTGGGCTGTGTCAGGAGATTCAGACTAGCCTGGACTACAGAGCCGAGACCATCTAAAATCATCAAAACCAAAATTTTTACTCTTAAAATAACAAAATATAAATATTATCAAAAGAACAAAATAAAAATTCTCTGACATATAAATCTGTTTTTATTAGAAATCAAAACTTTTGTATTAGAAACCAGTTTGGTGTGTTGACAGAAATAGGAATCCTATTTTGGAGTAATTCCTGCTCATCTGTTTGGGTTCTTAGAATACATGACTGGGAATAGGATATGTTGGTGTACACCTGTAATCTCAGCACTCAAGGAGCAGAGGCAGGAGGATCATAGCAAGTTTGAGGCAGCCTGATCCATATATCTAGTTCCAGGACAGCTGGAGTTATATAGCAAGACCCTGTCACAAACACATCACAAAGACTGGGATGCTTGGCAGAGTTCACATTGAATTTGTCTTTGAAACAAACAATCCTTGAAGTTCTTAGGTTACCTGTAAAACCTGTAACCAGGCACTGAGCCAGTAGTCTGACGAATCCTGGGTGTGCTATGGTTTAAATTTATGCCAGAAACAGAGTGAGTGGGTGGAGGGGGTGATTATGGAAACCTCAAGGAAGTCATTGTGGTATTCTAATCTTGATTCTAAGGTACTTTAAAAATCACCCAACTTCATTTTTGTCAAATTACAGTGCATACATTCTGATGAGCCTGGTAGAAATGTTTATTGTATTGTCTGATAAAATTGAGCAGTCTGTTATCCTTTCCCAAAACATGAACTAAATTTTGCTTTATAAAACTTACAAAAATATTTTCTTGTAAAATACTCTTTGAATGATCCTTTTTTTTTTTCCTTTTTTGGTTTTTTGAGACAGGATTTCTCTGTGTAGTTTTGGTGCCTGTCCTAGAACTCATTCTGTAGACCAGGCTGGCCTCGAACTCACAGAGATCCACCTGGCTCTGCCTCCCAAGTGCTGGGATTAAAGGTGTGCGCCACCACCACCCGGCTTTGAATGATCCTTTTTATGATACAAGTGTCCAATTGCCATTTTTGTTAGTAAATATGTTCTAATGTAAGTATAAGTGAATATTAAACAGATGCACATTAGCTCCTCCTATTCTTTTAGAAATTGCCATAATGTTTCACAAACATTTTTTTCTGTTTGTGAAAAAATACATGTGTTTTAGGAATAAATCAAAATTTACCTATGCATGCTGCAGACCTGAAAATAAAATTCTACCAAAGGCTGAACTCAAAATAGACCTTTTGGGACTAAAAAGAAAAAAGAGAGAGAGACTACACAAGCCTTATTTTTTCTTCTGGGAGGAACTTCAGAATATATCTGAATTCTGAGCTGGGTGTTCACAGTCCCGGCACTTGGGAAGTAGAGAGAAGGATCAGAGTTTGAAACCAGCATGAGCCTATATGGTGTAATTCTGTCTCAAAAACAATAGCAAGTGAATTCTGCAAAGAATGTAAATTTATGTATTTTCAACTTTTTTCCCAAGTGAAACCACTTGTTGCCAAAGCAACCAATACAATGATAACTGAAAGAGAAACAGGGATTAACTGATACAAGATTTAGTTATTATTTGACTAGTATTCCCTGAAAACTGCCAGAGCTTATACAACCAGGTTTTCTTGTAGTCTAGTTGGTTTGGAGGATTTTTGGGTTAGAGGCAAGAGCTCACTATGTAGGCCACCTTGGCCTCTAACTTGTCATAATCCTCATGCCTTTGTCTCCCAAGTGCTGGCATTAGAGGTGTGTGCCACCATGTGCAGATTGATGCTCTAGTTCCTATGACACCATTCTAGGTACTGCCAACTTCTTAGATGGAGTTTGAAAGTTTTGAATATCATGTAAGAATGAATATTATAAGTCTTCCTTCTTGGCTTATTTTTCTCTGAATAAGTTTTGTTTATTAGATTAACTTACGATCTTTTAAAGTTTTCCTGTAGTTTTTTGGTTTGGTTTTTTTGTTTTGTTTTGTGTGTAAAGAGGGCTGGAGATGTAACTCAGTTGATAGAGTGCTTGCCTGGTATGCATGAAGCCCTGGGTTTGACATAACACCACATAAACTGAGTGTGATAGCACATGCTTGTAGTCTGAACACTAAGGAGGGAGAAGCAGAAGGTTCAGAAGTTGAGGGTCAGCTGCATAGTGAGTTTGAGGTTAGCCCTGGGATCCATGAGACCCCCATCTCACTGTAACACTCACTGTGATTTTGGAGTTTGGGGATACTTTTAAAGACAAGGTCTTGCCTTGTAGACCCTAGCTGGCTTGGAACTCACCTAGTAACCCATACTGGCCTCAAACTCCGAAACTTCTACCTCAGCTTCCCAAGTACTGGGTTAACAAATGTGTCTGACAGATTTACCCTGCTTTTATAATTCTGCTGTACTTTTTTTCTGTGTATAGGTACATGCATATTTATAAAACTGTCATAATAATATTTTGCCACCAAAGGTACCATATCATTAACATTAAATTTTTTGTATGCTGAGTTCTGGGCATACTAATATAACCAATATGCTACAACTCAAAACAATTTTGGAGTATCTACTGTAAAATGACCTTATTAGTGGATTGTAACCATCACATACTTACTGGAGTTTGGGTTTTTAAAGGATCTGTTGGTTTCTTGGTGACACCCCTGTTGCACGAATCCTAAATTGTCTTATAATAAAAACCTGGGGCCAGATATCAGGGTGAAAGCTGAAAGATCAGAGAAACAGAGCAAGCCACCTCTTAACTTACCAGCTCCTTAGCCTGCAAGAGCCTGAAAAGACCTGAGTTCCTGTCTCCTCCCACCTTATATTCATTTCTCTGCCCAACCATATCATTTCCTGTCTCAGTCTTCCCAGTGCTGGGATTAAAGGTGTGTGATCCCAAGTGCTGGAGTTGTGTAGCTCAACGTGACCTTGAACTCACAGAGATCCAGACAGATCTCTGCCTCTGCCTCCCTAGTGCTCAGATTAAGGGGGTGTGCCACCACTGCCTGACCTCTGTGGCTAACCCTGTGACTAGCTCTGTCTCTGATCTTCAGGAAAGCTTTTATTTCTTAGATTACAAACAGTATATCAACACACACACACACACACACACACACACACACACACACACACACACACACACACACACACAAAGATAAGTACTCTTAGGATTTGGATGGTTAACACCAGTTTTCATTTTCTGTATGAGATTTTGTTTAACTTACTAGAATATACTGTGTTAAATTTAAAAATGTTTTAGGGTATTGGGGAGATGGCTCAGTCTATAAAGTGCCTGCCATGTCATCTTCAGGACCTGAGTTTGGAATCCCAGCACCTGGATAAAAAGCAGCACATTCCTGTAATCCCAGCACCAGGGAGGCAGAGACAGGGGAATCCCTGGGACTTCCGGACCAGCAAGACTAGCCAATTTGGTTAAACAAGTTCAGTGAGAGACCCGGTCTCAAAACAAATGAGTGTTTTAGACCCAGTTTCAATCTCTGGACTCCACACATATATTCACATGCACCTGCATATAAATATGCACCCCCACATGCAATGTTCAAATATATTCCAAAATGTATAGGGTAGAAACTGCATATACTAATCTTTCATGTTTAAAATATTTTTGCCATATTTGTCATACCTCTGTAAATTTTTTATCTTTTTCTATTTGTGATCTGAAGGAAATTCTGTGTCATGTTTTGCTTCTCATTCTTGACCCTATTCAGCAATAAGACACATGGTTTTCTTAGAGAAGTATGATTTATTACAAAAGTATAAAATTAATTCCCCTTTATACCCTCTCATACCTAAATTCTTCTGTGAACTAAGGCTGATTTTCTAAATTTAATTAAATGTGGGTATCTTGTAATGCTCTGATTTGAAACAGCTATCTTTCTTTTTCAGATTAGTGATGACGAACCAGGCTATGACCTAGATTTATTTTGTATTCCTAATCATTATGTCGAGGATTTGGAAAAGGTGTTTATTCCTCATGGACTGATTATGGACAGGTTAGTAAGATCTCAATTGAGGTTTTCTGGGGGGTTTTTAGGTCTGTGTATGTATGATATGTGTGTATGTGATGTATATGTATAGTATATGTATTTATATGAAAGCCAGAGAAGGACATTGGGTGTCTTATTCTGTTGCTCTCTGTCTTATTCTCTTGAGTCAGTGTCTCTCACTGAACCTGGGGCATGCCGATTTGGTTAGGCTGCCTGGCTAGCAAGACCCAGAGATCTGTCTGTCTCTGTCCCCTAGTGCTGACGTTAAAAGCAGATACAGCCACAGCTGGTTTTTATGTGGGTCCTGATGCTTGCACAAGTGTTCTTACCCACCGAGCCACCCCTCCAGCCTAAACTGAAGAGTTTTCTTCTTGTATTAATTCTAACTTAGCAACTGTTGAGTAGTTGATATTTGAATATAATCTAGGCCAACTTATTTATGAACAAAGGTTTTCTATTTTAAAAAATATTTGTTGTTATTTTATTTGCATGTATGAGTGCCTTCATGCATGTATGTGTAGCATATGCATTTCAGGAGGCCAGAAAAGTGTAGTGAATCCCCTGGAACTGGAGTTACAGACCATTGTGAGTCACTGTGTGGGTGCTGGGAATTGAACTTAGGTCCTCTGCAAAAACAGCAAGTGCGCTTATCTACTGAACTCTCTCTCCAGCCCCAGTATTTTTTGTTTTTAATATTCTTTTTACAAAAAGAAAAACATCAGGAAATCTTACTAATTAATTTCCCAGTTTGAGACATAAATAGGGGACTCCATACTGAGTACAATAAACATTGAAGAGAGGTTGGAAGAGCCTCTAGTCGGTCTGTACATGGGATTATAATTTTGTTCTGTCAGCTTGCTACACACATTCTTACCTAGACCCTCCCTGTACATGTACACAGTATCACTGTATGTGAAGTGTGTATACACACACACACACACACACACACACACACACACACACACACACACACACACAAGTTACATATTCTCATATAGTACTAAATTTTTTTTTTGGACTTTTTAATAGTAGTACATCTATAGCTCTCACATGTATTTATCTTTTTTGTTTTGAGACAGGGTTTCTCTGTGTAACTTTGGAGCCTGTCCTGGATCTCACTTTGTAGACCAGACTGGACTTGAACTCACAAAGATTTGTCTGGCTTTGCCTCCTGAGTGCTGGGATTAAAGGCGTGTGCCACCACCGCCTGACTTGTGTGTGTGTGTGTGTGTGTGTGTGTGTGTGTGTGTGTTTATCTTTTAAAAATTATTTTATAATTGTGTATGTGTGTGTGTACTATTTTTTCTTTGAGATAGGGACTCACTATTTAACTCAGTCTGGAACTTGGAACTTTCTATATATCCCAGACTGGCCTCAACTCAGCAGTCCTCCCTGGCAGCCTCCCATGTGTGGAGATTACAGGTATGTGCCACCATGCCCAGCCCTACATGTTATATTGTTTTTGAAATATGGTCTCAAATAGCTGTGTAGCTGAGGGTGATCCTACTGCTTCATCTCCTGATAATAGCATCATGCACAGTTTGCACAGTTCTGAGGATAGAACCTAGGACCTCCTGTGCATACTAGGCATGGACTCTACCAGCTAAGCTACATTCCTGGCTCCCCAACATTTATTTTAAAGGTGATAGGTAGACAGAAGTTTTCCTGTGTCCTGCCCAGTCCCACAGCTGCTCTGTCCCAAGTAAATACAGAGGCTTATATTAATTACAATCTGTATGGCCTATGGCTCAGGCTTCTTGCTAACTAGCTCTTTCATCTTAAATGAACCCATTTCTTTTTTTTTTAAAGATTGATTTATTTATTATGTATACAACATTCTGCCTGCATGCATGCCCACATGCCAGAAGAGAGCACCAGATCTCATTATAGATGGCTGTGAGCCACCATGTGGTTGCTGGGAATTGAACTCAGGACCTCTGGAAGAGCAACCAGTGTTCTTAACCTCTGAGCCATCTCTTCAGCCCCCCAAATTAACCCATTTCTATTAATCTATATGTTGTCATGTGGCCAAGGCATTACTGGTCTGCTGGCATCTTGTTGCTCCTTGGACAGCAGGCTGGCATCTCTCCTGACTCCACCCTTCTTCGTCTGTCTTCAGTTTGATTGTACCACCTAACCTTATTCTGCCTTGCCATTGGCCAAACAGCTTTATTTATCAACCAATGAGAGCAACACATATTCACAGTATACAGAAAGACATCCCTTAGCAGTGATATGCTATTGTATTCATGGATGTACCATAACTGATTTAACTCTGTATTGTTGGTGGACACTTTAAGATCTTCATTATTTTGCATTTAGCAGAATATATTAGAGGAATACCTCATAAACACATTTTGGCACTTAACTCAGCTTTAGGCAAGTAGAAATTCTGGGTCAAGGAAAAGATGTTTATTGAATGTTTTCATACTGCCAAATTAACCTCTAAAAAGTTACATACTTCCAGTGGTGAGTTCATTTTTCCTCACAATCTCTTCTAATACTTTATATTAGAGGAATACAATTTAACCGAAATTTGCCATCTAGTAAGCTTTGAAAATTATATCTTGTTTTTATTTGTATTTTTAAATTTTATGATAGATGTTGAAGTGTACCTGTTTTTTTTCTTTTCTTTTCTTTGAGACAGGATCTTATTATGTAGCCCTAAGTGTTCTAGTACTTACTCTGCAGTTTAGGATGTCCTTCAACTCATAGCAATCCTCCTGCCTTAGCCTCCAGAGTGCTGGAATTATAGGCATGTACATCATGCCTAGCATGTACCTGGTTTTTAAAAGTTTTGGGGTTGGGGATTTAGCTCAGTGGTAGAGCGCTTGCCTAGCAAGCGCAAGGCCCTGGGTTCGGTCCTCAGCTCTGGAGGGGGAAAAAAAAGTATCAAATTTTAATTTTGATTGAGCTGTGTGTGTGTGTTGGTGTATATCTATAGTCTCAGCACAGGGAGGTAGAGACAAGGACTATGAGTTACAATCCATCCTGGGCTACATAAAGGGATCCTGTGTCACCTTCTTCTCCCCCAAAAAATCTTACCTTTGGCATGTGGAAAAAAATAAAAAAAAACTCTTTATGAAGCAAGGATTCCCTTTATGGGTAAAAAGGATGTGTCTTATGGAGGTTTAATGCTTAACAGGTGTTTATTATAAAATATACATATTTGGAATCTTTTTCAATTCCTGATTTTATTTTTGCAGGACTGAAAGACTTGCTCGAGATGTCATGAAAGAGATGGGAGGCCATCACATTGTGGCTCTCTGTGTGCTGAAGGGGGGGTATAAATTCTTTGCTGACCTGCTGGATTACATTAAAGCACTGAATAGAAATAGTGATAGATCCATTCCTATGACTGTAGATTTTATCAGACTGAAGAGCTACTGTGTAAGTATAATTAATTTATAATTTAAAAAAAAATATGGCAATTATAGTTTTGTCTGTGTTTTCTTTGACGTTCTGCAAGCTATACTATATAATCATCTCACTCATAGTAGAATTACTATTATTTGTCTATCTATCTATCTATCTATCTATCTATCTATCTATCTATCTATCTATTTATTTATTTTTCTAAGCTGGGGATGGAACCCAGGGTCTGAGTAAGTATGCTACAACTGAGCCTCATCCCAGTTGTTTTTTAGAATTTTAGTTTGAGACTCTTTCTCACTAACTTGCTCAGACTATCTTCGAACTCATGACATAGGCTGGTCTAGAAATTTCAGTCATCTTGCCTCAGCTTCTCAAGTAGCTGGGATTACAGGCAGGTGCTACCACTTCTGGCTATGATTGTTGTTATTATTATTAATTCTTTGGTACTTTATATCACAACACAGAATACTAACCAGTGTATTTCATGACCAACATTGAAGTGAATATCGGCTGTTATATAGTCACCCAAGAGGGATATGTGCTTATTTTGCATGGTTTTTCTGTTGTCTTATTTTGACCTGGATTTTGATTTGTTTTATGATACTGCTCAGGCTAGTCTCAAACTATGTAGCTCAAACAGTCCTTCTGTCTTAGCCTCCCAAGTTCTGGGAGTATAAGTGTGCATCGCCACACCTGGCTGTGTTTTGATATTTTTTTGTTTTTGTTTTTGTTTTTTCCAGACAGGGTTTCTCTGTGTAGTTTTGGTGCATGTCCTGGATCTCGCTCTGTAGACCAGGCTGGCCTCGAACTCACAGAGATCCGCCTGGTTCTGCTCCCCCCTCCCCCACAGTGCTGGGATTAAAGGCGTGCGCCACCACCGCCCGGCTTCAAAAAACTCTTAAGAATTACTATTGAGTAGAGCTGGAGAGATGGCTCAGCAGTCACAAGCACTTGTGGAGAGGCCTGGGGTTTAGTTACTAGCACCAGAAAGATGTCTCACAACTATGTAGCTCCAGTTGTAGAGGATCTGATGTCCTAGCCTCAGATAAAAAGAAATAAAGTAAGTCTTAAGAGAATTATGGGACTGGTGAGATGGCTCAGTAGTCAAAAGCACTGGCTGCTCTTCCAGAGGACCCGGGTTCAATTCCTAGCACTTACATGGTGGCTCACAGTGGTCTGTAACTCCAGTCCCAGGGATCTGATGCCCTCTTCTGGCCTCTGAGGGCACCAGGAATTCACTTGTTGCACAAGCAGACATGGTGTTGAAATACACACATACATATTTAAAAAAAAAAGAATTGTTGTTGAGACTTGGTGTTTTCCTGACTCTATGTGCTGGTGGCAAATGATTTCTCTGGAGCTAAATTGCTTTGAGTGGAATCCTAAGTTATCTGAAGCAAAGTCTGATTATTAAGGTTAACAATTATTTCTCAGAAAACAGAAACCACTTTTGAACTGGGGCCACTTTACCTTTGTTAGAGTCTGGAATGATTTAGAATATTGACACTGTGATGAAACAAAATAAATGTGACCTTTACATGTAAATTCCATCATTCACAATTTTGATTGCATAGTTTATTTTTCCTCTTTTTTTGAGACTCTATGTAGCTCTTGCTGTCCTGTCACTATGTAGATCAGGCTAGCCTTGAACTGAGAGATCCAACTGCTTCTACCTCCTGAGTGCTGGGATTAAAGATGTGCACCACCACTGTCTGGCTAAAATAGGTATTTCTTTTTAAAATAAAACTGCAGAAAATTATAGAGAAACTAAGTCATCCCATATTCTACTTTTTAAAAAGGCTTATTTTTATTTTATGCTTGTGAGTGTTTTGCTTGCATGTATGTATGTGCACTATGTGAGTGTCTCATGTCTGCAGAGGCCAGCAGAAGACATCAGATCCCCTGGAACTAGAGTTTCAGTGTTTGTGAGTCACCATGGGTACTGGGAACTAAATCTGGGTTCTCTGCAAGAACAGTACATAACACTTAACTGTTGAACCATCTCTCCAGTTCCTGTCATCACTTTTTATTTTTTTGAGACAGGGTTTCTCTGTTTAACAGCCCTGGCTGTCCTGGAACTCACTGTAGACCAGGCTGGCCTCGAACTCACAGAGATCAGCCTGCCTTGGCCTCCCGAGTGCTGGGATTAAAGGTCTGCGCCACCACTGCCTGGCTCTGTCATCACTTTTTATTTTGAGTATTTTAAAGAGTTTTCTCTCTGTATACATGTACACTCGTGCTACTATAGTTTACATAATCAGTGTTATCCCAGATGTTATTTAAGTACCTAGGTGGGAAAGAGCCTGGGGGTTCCAAATATCTATTTCATTAAATGAAAGAGTCCACTAGTTAAAACCACTATATTTTTTGTGCTTCTAAGAAAGAAAATACCTTCAATTATAGTTGTATGGTACCATGAATTACGTACGTTTTCAGAGGTAGTAAAGTATGAATGTGCATCTTAAAACAGTGTTATATATTTGGTAACATTTTCTGTTCCAGTGCTCTGTAACCTTCAGGAAAATGAAACATTTTTGATAAGTACACAAATGTGTTTCTTCTAGTTTGAGTTTTACTTCAATTTTATAAAATTCTACTAAAATAGTTGAAGAAAAGATACCGAGATTTGGGGAGAAATGGTTGTTAGTAAACAAGTAATGTTTTAAGTTTTATTTTTTAATTTTTTCTTTTTATATTTTAATTTTTTTCTAATGTGTGTATGAGTATTTGCCTGCATGCCAGTATGCAGTGTGTGCAGTGTTCACTGAGTCTAGAAGAGGGTTTGAGCGCTCCTGGAACTGGAGTTATAGATGGTTATGAGCTACTGTGTGGATGTGGGGAATCAAACCTGAGTCCTCTGCAAGAGCAGCATGTGTTCTTAACCACTGAGCCATCTCTCCAGCCCCTAAGTTTTTTGTTTGTTTGTTTGTTTGGTTTTTTGAGACAGGGTTTCTCTGTGTAGCTTTGGAGCCTGTCCTGGAACTCACTCTGTAGACCAGGCTGGCCTCGAACTCACAGAGATCCACCTGCCTCTACCTCCCGAGTGCTGGGATTACAGGTGTGCGCCACCAGCGCCCGACCTAAGTTTTATTTTTAAATTTGTAATCATTTTGAGTGTTGGATGAATCCAAGATCTCAAATATGCCAAGCAAATATGCTCTAAAGCTGGAGCTCTTATTGCTACTTAAGAGATTTTCAAAAATCTTAGGGGTGGAAAATTAGGAATAAAACTTCTTTCCTGTCATCTGCATTAAGAGGTAGACAAAGCAGAAACAAACGTTAAGACTGGGTTTTTAGACCCCTGAGATTCTCTGGGAATTAAAACACATATTTTTATGTGTATGAGTGTTTTGTCTACATACATGTCTGTGCACCACACATGTGCCTGAAGTCTACAGAGGCTAGAAGAGAGTGTCTGACTCCCTAGAATTGGAGTTTACAGACAGTTGAGAGCTGCCATGTGGTACTGGGAATTGAACCTGGGTCTCCTGGAAGCCAGTGCTCTTAGCCACCCCCAGCACCCTCTGGGGATTTTGGTTACTGAAAGTGACACCTAAATGAAGGATACTGTGGGCACTTCTGCTTAATGAAGTGATGAAAGGGGAAAGAAGAGATAGGGCGAGTCTGCTATAATAGTTAAAGATGAGGCCTCTATAGAGGCACTGAGTTAAGGGGATAGTGAGTTCCAGACAGACAAGGAGGGGCTATAGTTTTCTGGCCACTCAGGTTAGGGAATTGATTCATGGATAGCATTTGTAGACAGTGTAGGCACTCACATATAACAGCTATTAAATGAACCTTGTTTATTAGCCTCATTTAAAAGGAGGCTGTTTTCCTTGAAAAAAGTTTCAAGGTCACATAAGCTGAAACCTTGAGGTCAATGGGACTGTGAAAATTGGAACAGTCTTGGGTGTCATTGGGTTTTTTGTTTGTTTGTTTTTTGTTTTTTTCGAGACAGGGTTTCTCTGTGTAGTTTTGGTGCCCATCCTGGATCTCACTCTGTAGACCAGGCTGGCCTTGAACTCACAGAGATCCACCTGGCTCTGCCTCCCGAGTGCTGGGATTAAAGGCGTGTGCCACCACCGCCCGGCTGGAACAGTCTTAGAGTGCCAGTGTTCTGTGTACTTTGGAGTTCTGTTGCCTCAGACCCTATAGCCATAGCCTTTGGATCACAGCTCCATTCTTAGGTACTTACTCCTTTTGGCCTTTCCTTGAAAAAGGAATTAATTGGTGTTGGACTGTAATACCATCTTTCTACAGAAGATGTCAGTATTTACCAAGGTTTGTTATTACTTTGTAGCCCTCTTAGCATAATTCCCTCTAAACTAGTTTCAGATTTCATACAGTTCTTTTTCTTTTAGTCATTAATCAGTTCTGTGTGTTTGAAATTCTGGGTTTTAGGCTAGACTAATATGAGAAATAATATGCAAAATTACATTAAAAAGCCAAACATTTAGTTGACAGCATGTACTATTAGTATGGTTTTATTTATTTTGTTCCCTTCTCTCCCACTTCCCCAAGCAAACATTCTACCAACTGAGCTATCATTTATTTTGTTTTTTGAGTCATGGTTTCTCTGTGTAATCTTGGCTTTCCTGGAACTCGCTCTATACACCAGGTTGACCTCAAACTCACAGAGATCCACCTACCTCTGCCTCCCCAGTGCTGAGATTAAGGCGTGTGTCACCACCACCTGGCCATCTTTTTTTTTAATGATATTTTGAGATAAGGTCTGTTAGGTAGCCCAGCCTCCATAGAGGTGTGATTACAGGTATGTATTACCAATACCTGCCCCAACATACTTTTAAATACAGAACAAAAAATACCTGCCTCAACATACTTTTAAATACACAATAAAAATACTCTTATAGGTAGCATATTGGTCTACTACTTGGTGTTATTAATTAGTATAGATCTATATAGTATATATTAGATTTTGTGATTTTTTTAATAGTTCCATAGTATTATTGTTGTATACATTAACTTCATTAATTTAGTTAACTCCCTGTTAAAAGACATTTTGATTCTTTTTGATGAATAACGGATACAGTGAGCATCCTTTAATGTTCTTTCGCATGTTTGTGAATGTTTTTTGTGACATTGATTCTTGGAAATGGGATTGTTAGATCAAAATGGTGTGCATGTTTACAATTTTAATAGGCATTACTATATTCTTTTCAAAAAAGGTTATATTGGTTTTTGTATTCTAACCAACAACTTGAGTATTTGTTTCCCCTCAATGTATTACCAGGCTTAAGTTCTGTAAATGTGGATGGGTGAACACTAGAATCACATTTTTCCAGTAGTTCCTTTTTTTGGTTTGAGACAGGGTTTCTCTGTGTAACAACAGCTCTGGCTGTCCTAGAACTTGCTCTGTAGACCAGGCTTGCCTCCTCTCCTCGAACTCATAGAGATCTGCCTGCTTCTGCCCCACTGAGTGTAGGGATTAAAGGTGTGCTCCACCACTGCTGGGCTCTAATAGTTCTTTTTTAAAAAGGATGTATTTATCTCACTTTATGTGTATGTGTGAATGCCAGTATGTATGTATGTGCACCATGTACATGCCTGATGCTTTTAATGCAAGAAGTAGGGATCAGATCACCTGAAGCTGGGGTTGCAGGCAATCATGAGCTGCCATGTGGGTGCTGGGAACTGAACCCAGGTCCAATGCAAGATCAGCAGGAGTTCTTAACTGATGAGCTCTCTCTCCAGTCCCATCTGATGGATTCTTATTTTGAAGTGTAATATGCATTAGAAATACTGGTTGTAGATCTTTTCAGTTGGGGTTCATGACTAGTTTTTTGCCCTTTCTAAGAATGCAAGGAAAAAATATCTTCCTACATTTTCTTCCAATCCACTTATAGTTTTATTTTTTACATTTAGATTTTAATCCATCTGGAATTTTATTTTTGTGCATGGTGTGAGGTAGGGACCATGCTTTATTTTTTCTCAAATGGATAAGTAATTGACCAAACACCATTTGTTGAATAATTCATCTTTTAATTACTGACTCAAAATACCATCTTCGTCCTGTACTAAATTGTCATATGTTTTTGGGTCTGTTTCTGGATTTTACTTGGTTCCTTTAACTTCTGTCAATCACTGTGCTGATTGACATAAGGTAATTGCCGTAGCTTTATGATACTTGTTACTGTCTCAATAGAGCAAGTCCAGGCTCTTTTATTCATCTGTTTTCAATTCAGTTTTCTGTCTTGATTCCAGCACATTCAAATTATAGTTATTCCCACCAGCTATACTGAGTGTTAAGTACTCTTCTTTGAAACCCCTATAAGGGTTTCCGTTAATTTCTATGAGAGCCGAAAGTGAGAACCTAAGATGTATGTTCTAGCAGACTAGTAATCAGACCTGGTTTCTCAGCTCTGAAGATGACTTGGATATAGGCTGGACTTTTAGGGGGCATATCCTCGGGGTTGGATGTGATCCAGACCAGCTCCTTCAACTTGTATGACTCACAGGAATGTTACAGGGCCAGAAGCAGACACCTGCCATGCTAATAAATTGTCCTTTGTGGTTGAGAAGTGCCTGATTGATGATGAATAGCTATAATATGCCCACTCAGAAATGGATGTACTCTATTTTTAGGACTCTTCGGAACATCAAAAACCAGTAATGACCAATTAGGATTTTTAATTTTTACTAATCTTTATGTGAAATTTACCTAGTCATTAATTTCTAGAAACCTAATTCTTATAATTCATATAATTTAGAATACCATAATGCTGTGGCCATTAGATAGCTAATGTCTTAAATGTTGTGGCTTACATCTGATAATTTGAGAAGTTTGTGTGTACACAAAAATATGCATATAAATGATGTAGTTTTTTTTCAACTAGAATGATCAGTCAACAGGGGACATAAAAGTAATTGGTGGAGATGATCTCTCAACTTTAACTGGAAAGGTATGTATCTTGAAGGGGAAGGAAAGAATCTTTTTTATACCAGGAATCAGTTAGTAACTGTGCTTTCAATCACTCACTCAGAGTACTTTATTAGTATAAATAAGCAAGTGTTGTTTAACTCTTGGAAAGTACCTTATGTAGTTTATATTATCCCCTGGACTGTATAGCCAAATGAATCTAACATAACAGCAGAATCTAACATTAACCCTAAAAATCCATATTGCTAATTACTGCTTTCTGTAATACCTTTTTGAAAATCTAATTTGGAATCTTTCAGAAAATACAGATGGAGAGAAAGGCAGTCTTAAAAACGATTCACATGTAGTTTCATTTTAAGATTTCTCTCTGTGTGTGTCTCTGTGTCTCTGTGTGTGCGTATGCCAGTATGCAAGCCTGTGTGTGCGCACAGAAGCCAGAAGAAGGTGTTAGATTCGTCAGAGCTGTAGTTACAGGCATTTGTAGGTTACCCTGCTTGTTATATGGGTGCTGGGATCTTAGCTCCAGTCATTATGATTGTGCATCAAGCACTCTTAACATTCTTAACCACTGAGCTATTCTTCTAGCCCCACTTACATCTTTAAAAGAATAGAAAATCAATATTGTATGGTGGCTAAAAATGTGAGTTGTGGAATCTGATAGCATTGATCAAAAACTTGGGCTCGATATTTCCTAACTCTGTGACATTGGGGAGGATATTTTAACCCTGTGTGCCTCAGAGGTAGTTAGAGCTAAAATGGTAGTGGTAACTACCTCAGAGTTAATAGGCTTAAGTGATACAATTGTAGAGCTATTATAGCAGTTTCTCGTAAATAAATACTGCAAATAAATTCAAATATACTACTATGAGAAATCTGTAGAATTTCTTGCTTTATTCTGTTACTTTTTTTTTTTCCAAGACAGGGTTTCTCTGTATAGTTTTGGTGCCTGTCCTGGATCTCTCTCTGTTAGACCAGGCTGGCCTCGAACTCACAGAGATCCGCCTGGTTCTGCTCCCCCCCCCCCCACACACACACAGTGCTGGGATTAAAGGCGTGCGCCACCACAGCCCGGCTATTCTGTTACTTTTTAACATTGGTTTATTTCCATGTGTGTGTGTGTGTGTGTGTGTGTGTGTGTGTGTGTGAGAGAGAGAGAGAGAGAGAGAGAGAGAGAGAGAGAGAGAGGGGAGAGGGAGAGGGAGAGGGAGAGAGGGAGAGAGGGAGTTGGGGGGGAGGTACATGAGTGTGTGGAGGTCAGAGGACAACTTATAGGAGTCAGTCCTCTCCTTCCAGCCTGTAGGTTCAGGGAATTATGTTTCCATTGTCGGACTTGGCACCAAGTGCCTTTACCCCCTGAGCCATTTCACCAGTACTTGTTTCGTTTTTTGAGACAAGAGTTTCACTTTGTAGCCCCACACCATCCTGGTATCTCATTTGTAAGCCAGGATGGCCTTGAACTCATGGTGGTCTTCCTGCTTCAGCCTCCCAAGTGCTGAGATTGCAAGCGTGAGCCGCTATACTGGACTGAACATGTTTTCTTTCTTTTTTCTTTTTTTTTAAAGGAATCTTTTTTTAAAAAAATTTTTTTAAGTTTTATGTACATTGGTGTTTTGCCAGTTCCCCTGGAACTGGAATTACAGACAGTTGTGAGCTGCCAGATGGGTGCTGGGAATTGAACCTGGGTCCTCTGGAAGAGGAGTCAGTGCTCTTAACCACTGAGCCATCTCTCCAGCCCCTGAACATGTTTTCTAAGCCGCTAGTTTTTGTTTACTTTCAGACATTGTGCTACATATAAACGTATTACTCTGGTAAATTTCATAGTAGTCTGGTGAGGGAAGTTATATTCCCATTCTACAGCAATATAGTTATAGTTGAAAACTACATGGGATTATGAGACAAAAACTGTCTCACAATCTCGAATTCACACAACTAGGAAGTAGAAGAGCTTGAATGCAGACACCAAAGCTTGCTCTTTCTCTAGCTTTTAGATTTTCGTGCTCACTGTTTACTTCACTGAACATCTGTAGGGAACTTTAACATAAAACACTTGTGAAATTCTACACTCCTGTATTGGGGTCATGGCAAACTAATGTTGCCATCAGCAGTGTTTGGAACCTTCAGAGAAGTTGTAGTCTGTTGGTTCTTTCTCTCTCCTGTCCATTTGGTGTACAACTGCCAGACCTCCTTCCCTTTCATCGTGCTTTGTCCATATTTAGAAGCCATTCGAAACCTGCACTTCTATAATCAGTTTTCAGTGCTGGAAGGGGCCTAGCCTTCAAGGTCTTCTGTGATTTAGTTTGACCTTGTCTTTTCACCTAATGGCTCTGTCCCACTGCACATCTCTGTGATCTTAAACAGAGCTCTGCTTCTAAAATAACTTTTTATGATAGTCACAGTAGACTATGTTTAGGAACAAATCAAGGAATAAAAATTAAGCACAGTTAAATCTTGGTGATGAGATTACGGGTTTATTGAAAACATTTTTCTTTTTTCTTTCGTGGAAATTTACCTTATGTGTGTACAAGTATAGACACACACAAATATTTTCCCATTACTACTTGAGAATATAGGCTTGGGATCCCAATCTACCTTTATTCAAATCGTTCCTCTTTTTTGACTCCTGAGCCTCATTGTTCTCATTATTGAGTAGACATGTAGGAACTTGACATAACAGAAACTCTCAGTGGTAGCAGTTCTCAGCCTCTGTATTAGAGCAATAGTCTAATGCTGTGCTGCATTCCTTGGACAAATTTTAATCTTTCTGGACTTCGTTGATTTGAATAAGCTGTCTTATGCTAAAATCTACAGTTAGGGTCCGGCAAGATGTCTTGATGCAGGAAGACACTTGCCACTTAGCCTGATGACCCAAGTTCAGTACCTCTGACCTCCATATTTGATCTGTATTACAACCTCCCTAATGAAACAAAAAAATGTAAAGAATTAACATATATACTTATGACTGAACCAACGTTATTTAGTGTTAGACACAAGATTAGAATTCAGTCTCTGTCCCAGAAGCCCATGCTGTTTACCAGTCTATAATTCTATAATACTGCAGCAGCTATTACTGCTGCTATGAGCCACTTATTGATGGGACTGTTACCTTTCAAATGTTCAAGGTAAGGGACAGAAAATGTTGAGAAAACTGCATAGTGGATAGGGAAACAGTTACTGACTCATGAGCTAACTATATATTCAATTTTGCTAAAAATATACATTGTAGTATCTTACGTTTATTATTTCATGTAATACTCATAGTTGCCCTGTAAGGAAGATGTTGAAGGATGTTGAAATTTAGTCATATAACTATTAGGTGACAGAACCACAATTTGAATAAATAAATGTCTTAGTCCAGTGTCGGTGTTTCTTACACTATGCTAGGATTTATTTGAATAGCTACAGTGCTTTTTTTAAATCAGTATATTAATGTATTTTCAGTTTACTTAGAATTTCTGTAGACCTCATAATAAAATCATAGTTATGTTATTCATCTGTTCTGTACTCTGTGCCTTTAGATTGCCCCGAATTTTTATATCTGTTTTATTTTCTGTGCATATCCTAAGTTTTACTTTAAAATGACCTTTTTCTTGTCTGTAGAATGAGCTGCAGCTGTGAGTTGCTTTCCAGACGTTCTGAGCTAACCTTGCATGATTCTATTCTTAGACCCCTGCAAGACTGTGAGATACTGCCTTCTATGATAAATTGCTTTGAGACGTGGACATATTAGAAGTTTTTCTTGGTTACAATTTACTTTTAATGCATAAGCTGTGATTCTCCAAACTTTGATTTCCATGCCCAGTCACTAAACAGTTTTTCAAGGATTTACCCACAGCATATGTATTTGTAAATTATGTATGAATTTTGGTAGTAATTTATGTTGTAAAGTGCTTAAAATTGTAGGATAAACAAAATGAAGTATGTCTTCAGTTACTTTTCTATTGCTTTGAAGACACACCATAACCAAGGCAATTTATAAAAGAAAGCATTTAATTGGGACCTTGGTTACAGTTTCAGAAGGTGAGTCTAATCTGTGGCTGATATGTAAAATTAAATTAAATTATAAAATAAAAAATAAAATAAAACAAAACAAAAACAAAAACAAAAGAAGGTGAGTCTATGACCATCCTGGAACCGGGTGGCAGGCTGGCAGCATGACACTGGAGCAGTAGCTGACAGCTTATATTTCATCTGCAAATGGGATGCAGAGAGTTGTAGAGACTGGGGCTGGTGTGGACTTTTGAAACCTCAGGGCTCACTCCCAGTGACACACCTCTTCCAACAAGGTCACACTGACTAAAACTTCCCAAAGCAATTCCACCAACTAGGGACCAAACATTCAAATGTGAGAGTTTATGGGGGGCATTCTCATTCAAACCACCACAAGGTGAAAAAGTTGAATTTTAGTGAAACTTAGTGGATGCTATATACTCTACCTTGTAACCACTAGCTTAGAATAATATAGAAGACATTACAATTCTGATGTTAATGGTTGTTTGGCAGAGTGCATTGAGAATTATAGATAAATAGTAGAGAATATATCTTCTGTGCAGTGTTTATTATGGACATGGGAAATGCTGCCTTGTTCCTCTAACTAGCATAAACATAGAAAGTGGAGGGAGTGAGGACCCAGGCATGGTAAATCACAACTGTAATCTTAACATTCAGTAGATTGAGACAGGAATGTTGCTGCCAGTTTGAGGTCAGCTTTGGCTACATGATGAGTTCTGGGCCAATCTGGGCTACAAAGTAAAAGAAAAAAGAGTGGGTTGGCATGGGTTTAGGGGTTTATGGTAAATAGAAGTATTGGTATTTGTCCTTAGTGTAGGCCCCCAGATATGTGCACAACCTTACTAGTTTTTGATTGATGGAAAAATAAAATTTTAATTGCATTCTCTCTTATGTTAGATACATGATTTTTGGAGGCATTTGTACAGGTTATAGTTCTTAGAATTTTAAAGTCAAGATACATAAAAGGCCAGCTGGTTCAGGTTTCTCAGTTTACATATAGGACACTGAGATTCAAAGAAATTTCACAAGTTGTCTAAGATCTTGCATTAAGGATTAAAAGCTTTTTATAAAAAAATGGACATATGGGTCATATATTCTTTATGAAAGATTTAATATTAAGGACTTCTGAGTTCTAATAGAACACTTGTTTCAAGCAGGATTCAGTATAGTCAACTACTTATAAGCAAGAGTTTGGGTAATTTCTTAGAGTTTGTTGTATGATTTCACTGATAATTGGAAAATATCTTACTTCATGTAATAATTTTCATTTCTCTTTTTTCTTCTAGAATGTCTTGATTGTTGAAGTAAGTTCTGCATTTACTTTTTAATATACTATTTAAATTTTTCTAACTTAGTGTGTATTATAATAAAGGTAAACCAGAGAGAGAAATCTGTTTTAATGAGGGGCTTGTGTTTCCTAAAGATTAAGAGAAGCCATGTACAGTAGGGCATGACTGGAATCCCAGATACTCAGGAGGCTCTTGAATTCCATTGATGTTAGCCTGGGTTTCATAATGGGTTTGAAGCCAGAGAGTCCTTGTTTTTAAAACAAAACAAAATAACAACAGCAATAACAGCAAAACACAAACCAAAAAGTATAAGTGATGTATTTGGCTGCTCATAAAAACATTTACACACTATCTCTTTTGGTTTTGATTTTTTTCTTTAAAACCAGCTATAATTATAGAGAGATATGTATGTTGTTTAATGTCCTAAATTTTATTTTATGGACTATCATAAGATTCTTATTTCATCTTAAATGAATATCAAATATTCTTATAAAAGAAGAAAAATATTTATAGTTCATGTGTTATTTTCTCTTTGCTATTATGTCCTTGAGTACTTTGTATGTAATACCAGTAAAGTTTATCCAATGCTCACTTTGCCAGCTACTACTGTAAATGATGTAGAAACAAGCACAGGAAGGGTAAACAGATTCCCAAGGTTACCAGGCAGTGAGTGGAGTAAAGACTCAAACCATCTCTGTCTGTAGCCCATTGCTTTTCAATGTGATCCCTAAAAACCCAAATCATCAGCCAAGAACCTACTGACTCAGAATCTTTATGATGAAAACTAGCAAGCTTTTCTTGAGCAAACCTTGAGCTGATTCTGATGCATGCTAAGCTCTAAGAACCATTGCTTTACTCAGAAGTCACTTTCTCATTAAAGTTTTCTTTGGCTATTCTACGTAAAATCTTACATTTCCATGTCAACTTCCTATCCCTTTCAATATTTTCACTTATCACTGTCTAATGGCCTACATACATACCTCTTTAGTTTTTTGTGGTCTCCCTATTTCATGTCTGCCTTACTGAACTCTGTTTGTGATCATATGTATGTTGTTGAAGTAAGTTCTGCATTTACTTTTTAATATACTATTTAAATTTTTCTAACTTAGTGTGTATTATAATAAAGGTAAACCAGAGAGAGAAATCTGTTTTAATGAGGGGCTTGTGTTTCCTAAAGATTAAGAGAAGCCATGTACAGTAGGGCATGCCTGGAATCCCAGATACTCAGGAGGCTCTTGAACCCACTTACACCTGTTTGTGATCATCCTCTTACCTTGACGCTATTCCTCAATTCTTCAGTAAACATTTTTGTTTTGTTTTGTTTTTTTCGAGACACGGTTTCTCTGTGTAGCTTTGTGCCTTTCCTGGAACTCGCTTTGGAGACCAGGCTGGCCTTGAACTCACAGAGATCCGCTTGCCTCTGCCTCCCGAGTGCTGGGATTAAAGGCGTGCGCCACCACCGCCCGGCTAGTAAACATTTTAATAGGTTTTTCAGTGTGGCTTCGGAATACATACCAACCTCCTTCTCCATTTTCTTTTCTTCCTTTTTTTTTTTTGAAAAGTTAAAAATTCCTTTATTTTTTATTCCTGGTACTACTACCACAATTTACAGGGCAATAGACCTGATGTAATAAAAAGAAAAAGACAAAGCTACAACAGATAAAAGGCCTCAGGAATGTACATCGAATTGACACTATATTGCTTGAATCAATAGCTGCACTTTTTTGCAAACTGTGGCTATGACAGTCCTGAACAAGAAGGGTTTCCAGTAACTTTTCTGACTATGGATCATCGCTCCTTCTGTGGCAGATTTTTACAGTTCCTCTAATGTATTTAGGACGACTGTCTCAAAGGAACCTGCAGCTTTCCTGACAACTCCTCGCTCTCCCTCCTGCTAAGAACTGTAGCCCTTTTCTGCTTTTTTTTTAAACCTTCTGCTACCATATCCACCACTTCCACCACCAGATCCATAACCACCACCATAGGGACTGCCTGAGCTTCTTCCACCAAAACTGCCCCCTTTCATGGGCCCATAATTTGATTGCTGTTGTCCACTATAATTTCCAAAGTCATTATAGTTCCCATCACCACCATAGTTACCTCCACCAAAATTTCCTCCTTCATTGTAACCATCATATCCTCCTCCACCACCACCATATCCACCACCTTGGTTTCCATATCCTGGTCCACCACCACCATAGCCTCCTCTACTACTGTAACCAGGACCACCACCAGAGCTGCCACCATCACCTCCAAATCCATTATATCCACCATCACCACCTCCATAACTACCTCTGCTGCCACCACCTCCACCACCATAGCCTCCTCTTCCACCAAAGTTTCCACCACGACCAAAATTACCTCCACCACCTCCAAAGTTTCCTCCACGACCCATAAAGTTTCCAGATCCACCTCCACGACCTCTCTGTGATCCAGCAGACTGCATCTCTTGTTTAGAAAGGGCCTTTTTCACTTCACAGTTATGCCCATTAATAGTGTGGTATTTCTGAACAACAATTTTATCAACTGTGTCATGATCATCAAAAGTTACAAAAGCAAATCCTCTCTTTTTTCTACTCTGCCTGCCTTCCATAACTTCTATGGTTTCGATTTTGCCATACTTTTCAAAGTAGTCTCTGAGATTATATTCTTCTGTATCTTCTTTAATACCACCAACAAAAATTTTCTTCACGGTTATATGGGCACCAGGCTTTACAGAATCCTCTCTAGAAACAGCTCTCTTTGGTTCCACCACACGCCCATCAACCTTGTGTGGCCGAGCACACATTGCAGCATCCACCTCTTCAACACAAGAGTAGGTCACAAAACCAAAGCCCCTGGAACGTTTTGTTTGGGGATCTCTCATTACCACACAGTCTGTAAGTGTGCCCCATTTCTCAAAATGTTCTCTTAAGCTATCATCTGTGGTTTCAAAGCTCAGACCACCAATAAACAGCTTCCTCAACTGTTCTGGTCCCTTTGGATCATGGCCCTCCATTTTGAGACCGGACTCGCCTCTTCCAACTCGAGTTCAATATGGGACCAAGAGGTCCTTCTCCATTTTCATCTTCTCTGTACTTTGCACATTTTCCAGAACATCATTTTTCTATCATCATTTTTCTGCTCCTAGTTGCTTATTCATTTTTGTAATCTCTTTGTTTCCTTTCTGCTTTTTGTAATATTTATTTTTTGTGCATGTGTTTTATATGTCTGAGTGTATATGAGTATATGTGCAAGTATGCATGCCTGTGCACAAGTACAGAGACCAGAAGATGTGTCTCTCCGAACCCGGAGCTCACATTTTCTTATATAGGCTGGAAGCTGGCAAACCCCAGCAATCCTCCTGCCTCTTGCCTTCTTAGACCTGGGTTGCAGGTGGGAGCAAAATGCCTGGTTTTTATGTGAGTACTGAGATCCAAACTCCAGTCCTCATGGTTACATAGCTAATATACTTAACCACTGAGCCACCTCTCCAGCCCTTATTTTGTTTTTTAACAAAGGAAATTTTACTTCTTTGTTTTTACGTGTGGTGCTAGGGATCAAACCCAGAGCATGCTAAACAAATGTTCTACCACTAGGCTTCACCCTCAGTTCTTTGTTTTGCTTTTTGTTTGTTTATTTGTTTGGAGAATGAGGTAGCTAAATAGTCCAGGCTAGACTCTTAACTCCATCCACCTGCCTGCACCTCCCAACTCAAGTGCTGAGATTACAGGCATCTACCATCTACCTCCCTTCCTCCCTCCGTCTCTTTCCCTTAGTCCATCTTCCCTCCCTCCCTCCTGCAAGGTCTTGTTGTGTAGCTCAAGATGGCTTTTTTGCTTTTATGAGACCAGGTATTAGTGTTAGCCCCATCTGGCCTGGCTCTCATAGTGTGGATCAGGATGACCTGCCTCTGCCTTCTGAATGCTACCATTATGGTTGTGTGTCACCATACCTGGCCTCCAAGCTGGCTTTGAACCCACTGTGTAACCTATGCTGACCTTGAACTCATGATCCTTTTCCCCCAGCTTCTTACAAGATGGAATCACAGGTGTGCACCACCATTGTTCAGTTAGTATTTCTTTTTAAAATTTTTCTTTTTTTTTTTTTTTTTTAGTTCTTTGAAAATTTAGTACAATGTATTTTGATTATGTTTACGCCCTCTCCCGACTCCTCCCAGATCTGTCCTCCCTTCCCTATCTACCCAACTTTGGGTCGTCTTCTTTTTTTAAAATCCAACAATACAGTTAGTTCTGCCCATTACTCTTGGATGTGTGGCTTTCACTAGAGAGTGATCAACCCACCAGGAGCCACATTCTTAAAGAAAACTGACTCTCGTCTTGCAGCAGCTATCAGTTTCACTGGAGCAAGACATGATGCCCACCTCCCCTCTCCATCCTGGAATTTTGTCTAGCCTGACCCTGCGCATGTTTTGTACATGCTTTCTCAACTGATGTCAATTCATAAATGTAACTGCAGTACTGTGCCAGAAAACATTGTTTCCTTGAAGTTATCCTCCACTTTTGACTTTTTCTTTAATTCAAAGTTTGTTGCCAGGTGGTGGTGACGCACACCTTTAATCCCACCACTTGGGAGGTAGAGGCAGGCAGATATCTGTGAGTTTGAGGCCAGCCTGGTCTACAGAGCAAGTTCTAGGACAGAAACCTACACAGAGAAACCCTGTCTCAAAAAAAGTTTGTGTATGTTTGCATGGGTAAACATGCCACAGTATGCACATGGAAGTCAGAAGACAACTTTGTATAATTGGTTCTTTCCTTCTACCTTTTACATGGAATCTGAGGATTAAATTTAGGTTACTAGGCTTACATGGCAAATGGCTTTACCCACCAAGCCATCTTGGTGGCCCTTATTTTTTTTTTTAAGTAACATTATAAAAACATCATTTTCCTACAGAAAAATCCAGTCTCCTTAGCCTTCATTTCTTATTTCTTCCTTTCCCTTTTCCACTTTCTAAGATTTGCCAATTGAGGACATACATATAAATAGAATTACATAGTAATTGTACTTTGTGTCTGGCTTCTTTCATTGATTTTTGTTTGGTTGTTTGTTTTGGTTTTTCGAGACAGGGTTTCTCTGTGTAGCTTTGCACTTTTCCTGGAACTCACTCTGTAACCCAGGCTGGCCTATGATCCTCCTGCCTCTGCCTCCTGAGTGCTAGCTGGGATTAAAGGCGTGCGCCATCACTGCCCAGCTTCACTCATTTTTTTTTTTTTTTTTTTTTTAAGGATCGGGTCTCACTATGTAGCCCTGGCTGTCTTGGAAGTAGTTATGTAGACCTTGCTGGCTTTGAACCATGGCAAGTGTGTGTACACACACAACGCACAAATAAATAAAAGTTCATTCAGGATAATAGCACCGTATAATTCCTTGTGTATTATCCAAATGAGGGACAGTTTTCTCCCTGACTGATGACTGGGGGTGGCTCACTTCTACAAAGATCATCCCTCATGTCCTACTACACAGCCCTCTCATAGCATGACAGCTCACTTCTTCAAAATCAGCAGGAGAATTCTCTTTCTAGTCTGCTAAAATTGTTGTGTACAAGGTGACTGTCGTATTGTGTTCATGGATTGTGGTCACCTCTAAGAGGTAGAAGTTCTTCCAGTGTGTACTCCAGCGGGCAGTGATATTGGCGCCCATCCTGCCTGCCACATCCTAGAATCTTCATTTTTCACAAGTCTCTAGCCCTCATATTTCTTGTGGTCCACGCTGCTTTATGGATTTTTATTTGTTTTCTGATACTGTTTTTGGTAGTACTGGAGATATGGGGCCCAGTGGATCTTATGCAGGTGCTTTATCTTTGATAAAGTTTTATATAGTAAAATATAGTAATTTGGATGTCTTCAAACCTAATACAAAACATTGTTGCTCACATTATCAGAATTTATGATGAAAGAGTCCCTATCTTGAAATTACAAAGAAAAATCTAATATACTTTTACAGAATTAAACCTGGTGGCTTATGCCTGCCATCCTAGCTGTCAGGAGTCTAAAGCAGTAGGATCTTGAGTTTAAGGCTACCAGCCTGAGCTATATAGCTAGACCCTGAGTGAAAAACAAGAAGAGGAATTGCATGTATGTCCAGTGATTACATGTACCCGTTTCAATTCATTGTTTTTTACTTTGCCACACCTGTGCAGTGTAGTTCTGGGGACTGACATTCCCACTACTTGCTGAGAGCCAGATGGGTTACAAGTTACAGACTATCTCTGTGTGTGAATTATGGTGAGGTTTTTTTTTTATATGTGCTGAAAAAATAATGACATTCTGCCATGGAATACCAGAACATTGAGGTTCTGGTATTCTGTGTTTGTATAGCAACTCTGATTTTAAAATGATGCTGGTTTTATTTAACACTTACCATTAAATGTCTCTTTTCTTTTTAAAAGGATATAATTGACACTGGTAAAACAATGCAAACTTTGCTTTCCTTGGTCAGGCGGTACAACCCCAAAATGGTTAAAGTTGCAAGGTATGTATGACATTTTAAAGTAAAATGTTTTCTTCATTTGGAGCATTAAGTAATTGCTTCTTTGTAAGGAGAAATGCTTTCAGCTCTCATTTTATCTTTAAATAGTAATGTAATCTTAAAATTTAGACAGTATCCTTTGTGATTTTATTATATGTTAATAAAGCCTGTCATTATAGTCAGCTCCTTGTCTAATACAGTATATACAGAGCTTTGGATTCACAACTACCTCAACACTAAGCTCCCTAGATGTTCAAGTCCTTCATAAAAAATGTCAGAAGGGCTGGCAAGATGGCTCACTGGGTAAACTCACCTGCTGCCAAGCCTGACAACCTGAGTTCAAAGCCTGGACCACATGGTGGAAGGAGAAAACTGACTCCTAAAAATTTCCCTCTTAAATCCATGTGTGTACCACAACACATGCCCCAACCCACACACAAAGAAAATAAACGTAATTTAATTTTTTTAATGTTGAGTGTTTACACAGAACCTATGCATATCCTTCCATATACTTTAATACCTGTTATAATGTTAGTGTCATATAAATACTTAACTGAATCATTTAGGGGAATATGTATATTTTTAGTATAGTTTCTTAGAATATTTTGTGTGTGTGTGTGTGTGTATGTGTGCGTGTTAACTTGCAATGTGCAGGTGAGTACACACATGCACATATGCAAAGGCCAGAGCAAGATTGGGTATCTTCTTCTATTGCCTGAGACAGGGTCTCTAACTGAACTATAAGTTCAAAGTTTTAGCCATGCAGGCTGTTTGGTGGGTGAGCTTCTGAATCCATCTCTAAGCTCACAGTGCTGGGGTCACAAACACATACAGGAATGGTCAGCTTTTTATGTGAACACTGAAGATCCAAACTCAGGTGCCTGTGCTTACAGACCAACTTGCTATACAAGTTTTTAGATACGAAATGCACACACATATGTAGAGTCAAATAACAATTGGTTTTGCAGCATGCTATTTATATCAAACTTGTCCTGAGTAGCATGAGACGATCTAGAGTTCCCTTGGGAAATGGAAACCAGTGATACCAAAGGTGATACCCACAAGGGTGGGGCCCTGAACATTTGAATCTCCTGGAGTTGAGTGGTGGATAAGGCATCCTGTTTTGTGTCATCATTGAAATTTTATAAATGCCTACTTCTTTTTTCTGAAGCAGTCCCACATCTTCCTTGCTATATCTAGGTGTTTGGCTTTTGTTTTCATAGTTCTTTCTGTTTTTATTTTTAGTTATAGTTTGATCCTCTAATAGTTGTTATCTCCACCTTACAGATGAGAATGTTGAAGCATAGGGAATTGCCCACAGAGCTAATAAGCTTACAGGGAACATGGCTCAGTTGATGCTTCTGTTATTTTAAGTTGGGTTTTGTCATTAAAAGTAACATTGTTTTTGTTTTGCTGCTGTTGAATTTTGCTTTGTTTTTACTTTCACAATTTCATTTTATTTTAAAATCTTTTGACTAATCTGTGGTTTTTGTGTAGAGGAAAGTTCAGGTCTTTTTTCTTTTTTATTCCTGAATCATAACTGATTCTAAAATTTTTTTCATTACACTTATTTATTGTGGCAGAGATGTGGGCATGTGCCACATGTACTTGTGTAGGTCAGAGGACAGCCTAGGGGAGCTGGTTCTCTCTACCTTGTTGGTCCTAGGTGGGGGTGGAATACAGGTTGGCAGAGTTGGCAGCAATAGCCTTACCCACTGAACCATCTCTGCTGACCATAACTGGCTTTTTATAAACTCTTTTTAAAGGATCAAAGTGTCTGTGTAAAGTCTTTGAATCTCTATAATTTTCATGAAGCCTGTTTGAGCAGTTCATCCTCGTGGATTTTTCTGATAGATGGTATAAATGTACCTCAATGAGTTTTTTTATTGCTGGAGGTGAGATGTGGGTAATTTTTTGATAATGTAATTGTCCTACACAAGTGTGTTTTGGTTTTTCCCAAAATAAAAATTAAAAAGCTATTATTTGATAGGAATATAAGATAGTATGGCCACTCTAGAAAACAGTTTCTTTTAAAACTGCACATATAACTACCAGAAGGCCTTACAAGTTGTACTGAGTACTTATCCCTGAGAAGTGAAAATGCATGTTGATATAAAAATCTGTATAAATTGATAGCTAGGTATGGTGGTTCACTTCTGTACTACCTGTGATCTCAGCATTTGGAAAGTAGAGGCAGGAGGATCACATTGAATTTGAGATAAGCAGCCTGAGCTTTCATACCTGTCTCATACCTCCCTACTCAAATCTGTACAAGAATCTTCACACCACCATTTGTGATAGCCCAGAATTCAAAGCAACAAAATTTGGACAAAACTGTAGTACAACTAAACCATCAAATCAGCAATAAACAGGAACAACTATAATACACAACAGTTCAGATGAGTCTTATTGGAACTGTACCAGTTATGACACTTTCAGCAGTACGTAAGACAGGTGTTTTGCTCTGTTTAAACTGCTTACCTGCCCCCTGTTTTGAAAATTCCCTAATTTTTTTCAAGGCTATTATAATAAGACCCATACACATACCCCAAAAAGAAAGGCAAAGTAATAAAACTGCATGCTTCTACTTGTATAACCTACTTTAAAATGGTAAAGTCATACAGATGAGAACAGATCAGGGATTGCCAGGGGTTAAGGGAATGCAAGAGAGAGCCTTGCATGTTCAAAGTATCTTGATTGTGGTAGTGATTAGGAAATTGCCTGAACTGCACAGAAAGATGAGTTTATATGAAATTGGTGAAATCTGTACATGGCCACTTAGTTCATTGGTGCCCATGTGCTGGTTTGATAATCTGCTAAAAAGGGACACTAGAGACCTCCCTTGTGTATGATATTTTTCTTTTGCAACTTTCTGTGAAAATAAAAAAATTTGAAAGCCATTAACATTTTTTGGTGGTAGTAGGGATTCAACTCAGGGTTGTATATATACATGACAAGCATTCAGATAATTAACTAACTATATAGTTGTATATAATTATGTGTAATCAAATTACATTTGCAAATTCATGATTTCTATGAATAACAGTATAATTTTAAAAAATAAAACTGCTCAAAACTGTTATGTTTTTAGCAATAGTCAAGCAGTTGAAAATATAATAACTAAAAAATGGAGTGGATAGCTCAGTGGTATTATACATTCTTAACATGATCAAGTCTCTGGGTACAATCTCCACTGCAAAAAAATAAAAAGTTCTTTTAACACACTTGTTTTGAGCCTAAAGTTCCCATTTGTGAGCCACTTATTAAAAGTCTTGATGAAAGAACATTTGTTACCTACCTCCTTTACAAGTTTAGGGGTTGTATTTCAAGGATTCTGGATCTAGATCCCTTATCTATTCATCTGTGCTTATTGGCACCCCCACCCATTCATTCCCCTCAGTAGCTGTGCTCTAACAGACGTACGGGTAGTTGGGATTCTGCTCTCAGAAGCATCTTACCAGGTTCCACGTGGAGATCAATCAAGGGCCTTGTCTTCTTGTGAACTCTGATTAGTTTCTGTCTTCCCATGGGTATGCAAAGCTGACCGTATTCTTTATGCAGATGATACTTAAGAACACTGATGTTTTCTTTCGTAATGCTTTGTTGTATTTCCATATGTCACGTTTAATATTTTGTAATTAACAGCTTGCTGGTGAAAAGGACCTCTCGAAGTGTTGGATATAGGCCAGACTGTAAGTAGATGCTCTTTGGTCAATCATTTATCCATCTTATAGCTGAAAAAAGTTGACTATGAAATGGCTTAGAGTTATTTTAGAGAACATTTGTAAAGAAGGCACATTTGCAACTATTAGATTTGAAAATACTATTTTCTCTATCTAAATAATAAACTGTGATTGTTTACAGTTGTTGGATTTGAAATTCCAGACAAGTTTGTTGTTGGATATGCCCTTGACTATAATGAGTACTTCAGGGATTTGAATGTAAGTAATGCTTCTTTTTTTTTTTTTCTCAATCTCATTTTTCAAAAACCCACATAAAAATTTAGGAAAGGGAAGAATTGTTTTCTCCTTCCAGCACCTCGTAATTTGACTAGACTGATGGTTCCCATTAGTCACATAAAGCTGTAGTCAAGTATAGACGTCCTTAGGACTGGAACTTGGCCAGGCTAGTGTGACACTTCTTGCTGACTGAAATAGTTGAACAGCTTTAATATACAAAAATTGTCTCATTGTTATTTCACATGATAAATATGGTTGTAAGTAAGAATTCCATTTAAATCTTATAATTAACTCTACTTCACATACCTGCCTCCCACTCTGGAGGCAAGAGTCCTTCAGGTGAGTTTATGAACATTGTCCAGGAGTAGTTAAGAAGACTACATGGGCAGCATTATCTAAAGCATGGTTTTTATTTCATCTTTTTAAGATCACTTATCCTGACCACCACCCCTTATTCATTCATTCATTTATTTGTTTGTTTGTTTTGAGACAGGGTTTCTCTGTGTGGCTCTGGCTCTCCTGGAACTAACTCTGTAGACCAGGCTGGCATTGAACTCACAGAGAATCCATCTTGCTCTGCCTCTCCAGTGTTGGCATTAAAGGCATGTGATACCACTACCTAGCTACACTGGCCCCTATTTTGATATGCCTTCAATGCCCAGCTTTATATGTTTTTCAAAGTTACATAGTAAGACAAAGAAAAAAGCACACTATTGGAAAATATTTCTGCTTTGTTTTCAGAATGTGTTTTCTTCAAGTTACTGGTCCGAAGTACCTTGTTTGGTAGGAACCCAGACAATGTGGTAGTATTCTCTAATGCTGTTCTTGTCTCTCCAGAATACATTTTTCTAATGTGAATTTCTTTTATTTTATAGCATGTTTGTGTCATTAGTGAAACTGGAAAAGCCAAATACAAAGCCTAAGACGAGAGTTCAAGTTGAATCTGCAAAGATGAGGAGTCCCATTGATGTTGCCAGTACAATTAGCAAGCCTTCTAGCTCTGCGGCCATCTGCTTAGTACAGCTTTTTGCATGAAACTTCTACGAATTTTATGTTTTTTATTTTTAGAAATGTCAGTTGCTGCATTCTTGATCTTTTTATTTGCACTATGAGCCTATAGGCCAACTATTGGTTCCCTTTGGTAGATTGTCGCTTACCTTGTGAGCAAAATAAATCTCTTAAATTACCACTATTAAATAATACTAAGATTGTATCTGTAAGAAGCATTTAAAGAGAAGATATATTAGTTTTTTAATTGGTATTTTAATTTTTATATATCCAGGAAAGAAAGATGTGATTGAATATTGTTAATCAGACCACGTGTGTTTAGATCAGTCTGAAGCCCTCAGCTTCATGTCAGTACCCATCTAAGAAGTTTTGCTCAGTGGAATAAACATGTTTCAGCAGTGTTGACTGTATTTTCCCACTTGGATTGTTTCAGTGAATCGTTGTCAACAGTTCCTTTTAAATACAAATAAATAAATTCTAAAAATTTACTACTTTTTGAATTCTTGAATGTGAAAGTCCTTAAACTAAGGACTATCTCTTATAGAACTCTACATGCCTGTCATTTCCCTAAAAATTACCTTGGTACAATTTTCCATTGGTTACCTTTTCCTTAAGTTTTAGTAGGTAATTTAATTGTTATTTAATTGCAAGTAATGGTTATCTGGTAGAATGGTTTGGTAGCACTAGGAAAGCTCCTACCTACTTGAGACTGTAAATTACAGGCAGTACTATTTACTACACTTCCTTCTGTTAAAAGAACACGGCTCTCGGATTTCTGAGAGGTTGTTCAGACTGCAGTTTGACCTACAAATTTGTTTTCAGACATGTCCTGTTACCTTCTTTGTGTAGATAAAGCTTTATTAACCAAAGAACAATAACAATAAAACATTGTTTTGTGTTTTGGGAGCAAGAGAAATATTTTAACCCAAGAGTCCTATTTGCCTTTCTGTTGTGGTGAGATGAAGTAGGAAGCTTTAAATAATACCAAGTAAGAACTTGCTGCAGTCAAGCTGCTGAGCTAGATGAGCAGGTGAAGGTTTGCCTAGGACCACCTGCGTGGTGACAGGAGAGGACTCCTGCAGGTTGTCCTCCCACCCTCATGAGCATGGGCGCACGCGTGGACATGCACCTGCATGGTGACAGGAGAGGACTCCTGCAGGTTGTCCTCCCACCCTCATGAGCATGGGCGCACGCGTGGACATGCACTAAGCTGACAAAACAAATGTAATTAAATAAAAAAAGATTGCCACAGTCCTACAACTTCCTAGTTTACAAAACATTTCACTTCTGTTTTCTCCTTTGTTCTCCGTAGCCTGATGTTGCCATATGTGAAGACAGTGTCAGGAGTAACTTCTGAGCCCTTTCCTCCCCGAAAATTTCATCCATTGAGGTCCACCTGGCTACTTTTTTAAGTTGCACTATTGTTCCTGTTGGCTTGAGCCGTGTGAGATGACCCTTTTTGTTTTTTGGGGTTTTTTGTTTGTTTGTTTGTTTTTTGTTGTTTTTGTTTTTTCGAGACAGGGTTTCTCTGTGTAGCTTTGCGCCTTTCCTGGATCTCGAGCTGTAGACCAGGCTGGCCTCGAACTCACAGACATCCGCCTGGCTCTGCCTCCCGAGTGCTGGGATCAAAGGCGTGCGCCACCACCGCCCGGCAAGATGACCCTTTTTGTAGCTAAAACAATACACCCCTACTTGGCTATTGGCAGTTTGAAGTGATTAAATGAATAGCATGCCACATAATTTACATTTGTGTTCATATTTTGCTATTTGTCCAACCCCCTGCTAGGATGTAAGTTCCATAGGAGGCAAACCACTTTCTTTGAGACAAGGTCTTTCCATTTTATAGCTCTAGCTGTCCTGGAACTCAATATGTAGACCAAGCTGGCCTCAAACTCCCAGAAATCCACCTGTCTCTGCTTCCCTAGAGCTCAGATTAAGGGACTGTGCCACCTTACCCAGCTGGCAAAATCACTTTGATCTGTCTTTTTGTCTGTGTACTGAGGCAGTGCTCTCTTAACCTAGACTGGCTTCAAACTCACGACACTTCTGCCTCTGCCTCCACCTCCCAAGAAGGTGAGTTAATTACAGCTGAGCTGCCATCTGTCTCATTCACTGGTGTGATTAGGTGGCTTGATCAGTGCCTAGGGAGTAGGAAGAGCTCACATGGTTGTTGAATGAGTAGGTAGCTAAGAACTCTGGCCCTGCTCTGGACTAGGACTGTCTAGTCCTTAATAGTGACTTGGCATCGAATTATTTACCTTTAGAGCCTGGTTGTGGAGGGGTGCTGTATTTTTTTTCTCCTTTTACATTTTTTGGAGGGGGTGCACTCATGCCATAGAAGGTATGTGGAGGTCAGAGGACTGCTTTTGGGAATAGGTTATCTTCCTTCCATTGTGTGGGTGTCAGGACTCGAACTCAGATCGTCAGGCTTGGCAGCAAGTACCTGCTGAGCTTTTTTGCTGGCCTAGTGCTGTCTTCTTCATGGACTTAAGGATTAATTAGCTACAGTGAAGGTAAGACAGGACAGTAACCTGACACACAGCAAATGCTCCAGCAGCATTAGTTGTTGCTAGAAAACGAATAAATGGTTCAAGAAGTTATTGTTAAACCATGGCAGCCCTGATTTAACTCAGACCTGCCTGAACTTGCTGCAGTTCATCATGAAATAGTTTCAGTTTTTAGTACGTTTTAGCTCGTTGCCTAATCCAACCAGAACCGTAGCTAACAGCTGGGAAAGAAATGCCTCTTTGCGTTTACTTACCCTAATTTTGAGAGTATGTAATTCTAATAATTTTGTTGACTCGGAGGTCTCATGGCCGAGGCTGGCTTTGAACTGAACTCTGGTGCTGAGGATGACCTTGCACTTTCAATCCTCTTTCCTCCACTTCCCAAGTTCTGGAATTACATCCTGTGTATGTAGTGCTAGGGGTTAAACCCAGGGCTTTGTGCATGTTAGTCTACTTTCTGACAATATCGTCACCCCCCAAGTTATGTAAATTTTTAAAAACCAACTTTCTACAGATCAAATATAGTCAGTTTGTAAGACAGGAAAGGGGAGTTACTCAGAGGAACAGCAGTCATTTTCAGGGTAACAGTTTAAGATAGGTGAAGTAAAATTTGAAAGAAAGCTGTATTTTCCTGTGGCTAGTATAGGAGCAAATGGTCATAACTGTCCTATCTCAATTCTCTGGGGCTTCACTTTTACTGCAGTCCTGAAAAATTATGCTGATAAAGAAAACAAAATTGAATTGAAGTTGTTCAGGGAAATAGCAAAGCATATATCCATTTTAGGAATTATAATTGGAGTTTTTTGAGGGGTGAGCAGAAGCCTGGGCCTTAGCAACCCCAACAAGCTAGGCTTAGCCACCCGTCCCCAATATGCACTAAAAAGACAAGTCTTTGTGAAAAGCAGGAGACTTAATGTCCCAACGTTAAATATTTAATATTTAAGACTTATTTAATGGCACAACATTGAAAAGGATAAATAAAGGGGTCCAGTGGCTCCAAGGTAGTCCTTCCAGAGTTACCAGCATGAGCTTTGGGTTGCAACAGATGAAGCTGGGGAAAGAATGTGAGTGGCATAATTAAGTAGTGTTGATATTTGTCTCAGTTTTGGTTTTGCAAGATGAGCCCGGGCCCTTATCCTGCAAGTATCACTCTGCTGCAGGGTATGCCCTAATGGATAATTACTCCCACCTATTCTACAAGATTCTGCTGTCCCATGATTCCTAGGTAACTCGAGGAAAGGTTAAGGCTGACTTACCTCTGTCCTTTCAGCTGAAGTATCGGAGAGACAGTGTATTGCTTTTAGTTAACTTGGTTGGGTCTAAGTGAGGCGTCAAGTGTGTTTTAGCAAATATCTAAGTGCTTCTTTCAGGAATATTGCTGCCCAAGAAAGTGTTGGTTTGTTGTAAAAAAAAAAGTGTTTGCAGTCGTGCATTACAGATGCTTAGAATCATTTCTATAAATATTGGCAGGTGCCTATTTTAATTCTCTTTGTAGATTTATAGATGCTAACTGAGCTACCATTGGGCTTGTAAGGTTGATCAGTTGGTGTCCTTCCCTGAATCTGAGATTCTGGAAACAGTCTTCTCCGTTGTAGAAGTTCCCATGTGTTAGAGAACACTAGCTAGATTCATTCTAGTTGGAGAGAGAAACAGTAAACACGACATTTCATTTGTATTATTTTTGCAACAGGTCTCTTGTAGGTCAGACTGATAGTACAGGTGTGTACCTACTACCACACCAGGCTTAAAAATTAGATTGGGAGAGCTGGGTGGTAGTGGCGCACACCTTTAATCCCAGCACCTGGGAGGCAGGAGATCTCTGTGAGTTCAAGGCCAGCCTGGTCTACAGATCGAGTTCCAGGACAGCCAGGACTGTTACACAGAGAAACCCTGTCTTGAAAAACAATAGAAACAACAAGAAGTATTAGACTGGGCCTCATACATGCTAGCCAAGTTCTCTACCCCTGAGCTATCTGCAGCCCTAAGACAACCTGTGCAATGAAGGAAGTAAATTTGGTATGCTGGACGTGAGAAGCAGGCCCTCTCTCTTAGACAGGGTGATTAGGAAAGATGATGGTCGAGCTGAAATGCAATAAGTCTACCACCACAGGGAAAATCTAGGGCTAAGAAAGCAGAAGAAAATGAGACAGTGGCAAGCCATTGGAGTTGCTTAGGGAAGAGTGGTAGGAACTAAGACCAGAAAAGAAGGCCAGAGCTGGACCATGAATGACTTTGAAGGTTATGGCAAGAACAAACTATGAAGTTTCTGCATTCCACAATGGGAAGGCCCTTGAGGGTTTTAATGCCAGAAATGAGATTTCATTTGCATTTTTAAGGGCACAAGAACCTCTTAAGAGCCTTCTGAAAAGCAGGCTCCTGGGCTGCAATGGCAGCTAACTACTGTTTACTATAGTCAGAGCCTATGCTAAGTGCTTGGTACGCACTATTTTCATTCACATCACATTTCACAGAGGGACGGCCATCTCAGGTGTTCTGTGGCCAAATTAAGCAAATCTGCCATGGAAAACTGGCCATGGTTTCCTGTCTGGACTGCTGTAGTAGCCTATATCCTCATCTGCTTCCACCTTGGCCCACCTTCCCTCATACCCCTCTCTCTTTTTGTAAAGCCCAGCACAAGAACTAGCACATTCTAAAATAAATAAAACTTTTAAAAAATTTAAGGTGCTAGAATGATGGCTCAGCAGTTAAGAGTGCTTGTTGCCCTTGTAGAGGACCCGGGTTCAGTTCCCATCACCAAAATGATTCACAACCATCCATTATTCCAGTTTCAGGGGATCCGTGCTGTCTCCTGGCCTCTGTGGGTATCAGTTATGCGTGTGATATGCAGGCAAAACACTCAAAGATGCCTGGGGGAGAAAGCTAGCACACTCTTGTAATGAATCCCAGCACTGGAAAGGGAGACAGGAGGACCAGAAGTTCAAAGTCATCCCCAGCTACATAGAGAGTTCCAGACAAGGCTGACCTCTGAAAGATGCCGTCTCAAGAAACCAAGCAAACAAACGAAATCCTTTAGTTGGACCTAGGAGTGATGGTGAGAACTGTTCATTACGGCTAGGAAGGGGTCACTTGACCCCTAAAGTTTGAACCAGCCTGAGCAATATGGCAAGACCCCATCTTAAGGATAAGAATGAAAAGAAAAGGCAAAGAAAAGCTTTAGTCATGGTGAGTTTCTCTTCTGATGGAATCCTTTGTGGAACCCTGTTTTACAGAAAAAGCCAAGTCCCTTCAGTAGTGAAGAATATTCGCCCTCACAACAACCTGGTCACTTCTAAGCAGGCTCTGGCATCTCTCAGCTGGCCTCCAACTTAGTTGAAGCACTGGGACTGCCATCAGTTGCCTCGCAACTGATCTCCCTCTCCTCTTCTCATCCAAGTCTCCTCCCTGCACTTGAAGTGA